ATTCCTGCTTCCCTGCCTTTTGCTCACTCTATTCGAGCCGTAGTGGCCCCTCTGCAATTCCTTGAACCAGTTAGAAGCCAGACATAGCCTTATTTCAGGGCTTCATGTTTTTTGTTCAATCTTAAACACCTTTACCCTGACAGTCATGTGACTATCTTTCAGGTCTTTATTAAAATGTCACTTTCTCAAACAAACTTCCCATAACTAACCAATAAAATAGCTGCTCCTCTCATCACTTCCTAACTCCCTGAACCGGCTTTATTTTTTCCTCCTTTTGACATCAATTATGTGCTTTAATTAAGCATAACTACCTCTTCTAGATTTCAAGCTCTAGGAAGGCAGAATTTTCTGTTTAGTTTACTGAAGAGAAATCAAAGTCAGACTTGCGGTACTGAAATAATAATGAAAAGAAAGAAATGAAGAATGAAGTTTTAGTGATTAATCTGTATCTGTCTGATTCATATGAATAGATGAAGACTAATCCCAAAAAGGAAGCACATCATAAAAAGGAGACTATTCCTAAGAAGGATTTTTTTGTTTGTTTGTTTGTGCAAAAGGGCATATGCATTTGCCAGAGAGAGACAGGGAGACAGAGTGAGATAGGAGAAAGCACCTCCCAAGGGGAAGGGTCACACTACAATCCCTTCTCCTCTCTCTCTCCCTCCTTTTGGGATTTTGAGAACGTGAGCACACACTGCTGGCATGTTTCTCAAGCTACCTTTGTCTGGTATTCGACTGCCTTGTCTCACTCTCCCATTACAATATCCCTGCTATATACAGTTGTCTTCCAGAAGAGTTACTGAAAAAGTGATACATACAAGTAAAGGGAGAGAGGCCACAAGTTCCAACCATCAGCTCATAAAGTTTTTGGTAATAGGGAGCATAAACTCCACTCAGGGTTGGATAAGGAAGGGTCTCCGGCAGATCCACAAGTGTAGGTGAGTCTCCAGGGAATGCAGTTTCAGGAAAGCAGTTCTGGTACACAGGGATAATTATCAGCTGATGCGGCACAGCAGTCATCTTGTAGTTACCAGGAATGGTGTTGTGGGGGTCTGCAGTGTGAGTTGTCCTTGGGTATCTGGCTTCCTTAAGAATGGCAGAGTAGTTCGTGCCCCCCCCCCTGAGTGGGGGGGGCCGGCCAGGCCGTTCCCGGCGCGGGGCTGCCTGCATTAAGAACTTTTAAAATCCTTTCTTGCAGGTATTTCCAAGTATATCATAAATTGCTGCTGTATATAGTCACCCTATAATGTTGTTGACTACTAGGATTCATTTCTAGCTGTTAACCAATTTTGCATCTGTTAACCAAACCCTTCCAAAACTACCTCCCTATTACCCTTCTCAGGTTCTAGAAACCACTATTGTATTCTTTGCTTCCATGAAGTAAAATTTTAGCTTCCACTTATGAGAAGGAATATGCCTACCTTATTTCATCCATGTTGCCACAAATGGCAA